AGGGGAGAGAGAGAGAGAGAGAGAGAGAGAGAGAGAGAGAGAGAGAGAGAGAGAGAGAGAGGGATCCCCTTAACACGGGTCAGACGGCCCATGCAGGCTATCTGAAGGGTCCTCGCAGGTAGCGCAGACCCTCCACCAAAATTGAGGCAGGCAGTGAATATGATGTAGAGCACGAGCTGGCCGAATATATACTCAGGATTCGAATCAGGTCTGTGTTTCAGACGTTATGGGTTCCTCACGTAGCTAGGCCCTGTTGGTCTCTGCATGTGACTCTTAGGGCTTGGCTGCACTACTCACGAAATGTGCAAAATTAGAATGAATCTTCTGCAGAATGTGGAATAATACGTCGCCATATGTTTTGTCTTTTGTGCATTTGGTGAGTAGAGGCCCTTAGGGCGACTGCACGTATTCCTAAGAAAAGAAAAAGGAGAAAACAAAAGGAAAACGAGAAAAGAAAAGAATAACAAGAAAAGAAAAGAAAAACGAGAAGAAAAGAGAATTAGTGACTCATATCTCCGACCTGAATTCGAATACAGACTATATATATACTCTGCCACCGCTAATGAAGCACAAGTTTGAAGTGCACCTCTGCTCCACGTGGGGTCCTAGCTAATTCGCTGTAAGGGCCCTTCGGAAAAGAGGCTGTACACAATTTGGACATGAGTACTCACTCACATGCATAGACATGTGCCCACAGTTGTGGGGTATGGCGTGGCCCTGACTTTCCTTCGGCTTGCTTTCTGATTTTCAGAAGCGAGGGGAATGTTTGGCCACCCCATACTGTCTTTTCAGTTTTTCTATTTTATTTTTTTATTTTATTTATTTTTTAATTTTTTCAATTTTTTTTTTTTTTTATAATTTTTTTTTAATGCGCCGCATCATGTGCGAGCGCGGGCAGGCGCGTGCGCTCTGCGCCGCAAGTGCGGCACCCCAGCGCATGGAATGCGCAGCACGTATGATATATACTCAATATTATAACAATGTAGTAAATGTAGTAATATACCTTTCAATGCTCATGAATGCTTTCATGAGCATTTTTGTGCGATGGTTAATATTACGTAAGCTACCAGAGTGGCCCGGGTCCACTTGCCCGGCTGGGCCAAAAATATAATATAAACGAGAGTGAATCCCAAATGGGTTACTAATTTATTAAACGATTACTATTATATTATATTTCCAGCAAGATTTAAAACACCAGTTTGCCAGGTTTGCTTTGGGAATTTGGGCGTCCCTCCACTACTCTCAAAATGTGCAAGACGAGAGTGAATCTTCGGCCAGAACACGGAAAGATAAACCGCCATTATTTTTGTCTTTTGTGCATGTCGAGCGAGAGTCGTGTCGTGAGGCCCTTTGTTGTATACTGTGGTTACTTTTTTTGTTTTTTGCTTGT